AAAATAAAGACTTTAAGTTTATTTATATATATTAAATAAAAAATTTAAATTATATATATTATAATAATACTGTAATAACAAAAATAATTACTTTTATTTATAATTAATTATTTTTGATGATATTATAAAATTGATTTTTATTTATATTATAAAACATTTATGAATTAATTATTTTTTTATTTAATTATAAATTTAATATTATAAGTTATATAATAATTTAAAAAAAAAATTAAATTAATTATAATTTATAATTTTTTTAATTAATATTTAAAATATTTATATATGAATAAGTATTTTATTTAATATTTTTATATAAAATTATAATAAAATAATTATGTAGAATATTTATTTTATACAAGATTAAAAAATTCAAAAAAAATTCAAAAATTGTTATTTTTTTTATTTTTGAATTTAATAGAGTTATAAAGTCTTTTTATATTATTTTTTATTTAAATAATTATTAAGATTTTTAATTTATAGACTTTTTAATATTTGAACTTGATAAAAAAATAATATCAAAAAAAAATTAATTAAATTATATATTCTATTAATATTAAAAAAACATAATTATTATTTTAAAATATTAATAAATTTACTTTAAACTAATATTAAAATTAATTTAATAAAAATTTTTTTTATAATAAAATTTTTTACAAATGAAAAAAAAGTATCATATTTTTTTGGCATCACTGTAATTTTAAATTCAAATTTTATAAAAATTTTAATAGTAAAATAATTTAAAATTTATATATAAATAAAGTCAATAAATTATAAAATTTTTTTAAAACTTTAAAATCAATATTTTATAATAAATTTACTAATTAATTAATAATAAAACTTTATTATTATTATTAGAATCACAAAATTATTTTATTAAGTTTTTACTTAAATTAAATAAATATTTATTGAATTATAATAAAATATTAATTCAAAGACTTTTGCACCATACTATATATATATATTATATTATATTATTAATTGGTTATTAAATTGTAAGCTAAAATAAAAGTCCAAAGACTTTTGTAACAGACTGTATATAATAAATTATATAATATGTTTAACCTATTTTTTTTTTTTTATATTAACTTGTAAAAAAACTAATACATATTTATACTTTAAATAAAAAAATCATTTCATTAACAAAAAATTTATTTAATAAAAAATATAAAAATACCTTTCTATTAACAAAATAGGTTCATGTTAAAAAATATAATTCATTTCTCTAATTTTATAAATATGTGCAATTTCAAAAAGCACTAATTTATTTATAAGGTGTTATACACAGATTAATACATATATTCATTAGTGATGCACCTTAATAATATTAAAAAAAAATTACGATTTGCACCAACCAACTTTAGATTTCGTTCGATAAATATTATTAAACTCGTGAAAGGAATTATGCCCGCACCATTGTTTTTCCCCTGTATGTATGTGTTGATAAAATAATTAATTAAAAGCTTAATTAAATCTTAATAATAATAAATAATCATGAAACTAACGTAATGGTTTTCTTCTCCACGACTTGAGCCTCAGGTTTTGCTCTGTTCAGTACCTTCAAGAATGCTTGCACGCGTGCACGCATTCTAGAATGCATATAGGCCTTCGAACATTTGATATGATAGTGAAGATAATCTCGGAATAACTGAATTTGAGAGATGGTTTTTTCTCTCATTTCTCCCTTGGCAAAATGACGTGGAAATAAAACTGCAAATTTGTTAAGATGTGGATGTGTAATAATTTTGATTTAAATAAATGCGTAAGAAACTTGAGATATTATACCAAATGTGACGTAACCAATATCCTCATCGTCCTTTGCGGCTTGTAATTCTGGCAGGTGCCTGATTTCTAAAGGAGGATCTTTACTAGAATAAAGCACCTGGGGCGCATTCTGAATGGCTGGTCGTCGACGCGCGTCGACGAATTCCTAGCAATTAAATGTATACTTATTTATACTTAAAGATTTTCTAATCTACCACGAATGTATTAATTTATTTACCTGTAAAAATACTCTCCCGAATATTCTATCTGTCTCTTCTTTAAACAATGTGGAGAAAATAACTGTTACTCTATCGTGTTGAGCTTGAATGTAAATAGCTTCTTGATCTCGGTAATGGATCTGCATGAGATCAGGTGTTGGGTTTGCTTCTTTTTCATTTTCAAATTGGGCTTGCTGTTCAAAAGCCCGTTCAAAAGGTTGTGCCAAAAGATTGCGTTTAATTAAAGACACCTTCCTTAATAATGCCTCTCTTTCCTCTAAGAATATGAGATATTGGAACAGATAAACAACTTTTTTGATTCCTTAATAATTTCAAAAGTCCTCTTTCGATTTACCAACCTTTGTCTTGTGGTAATTCTTGCAGAACAAACTCTAAACTTAAGTCATAACCACCTTCAACCTCTGTCTGACAGTAAGGGCTATATTCTCTTTGTAACATTTCCTGAACGCCCCATTGAGAGAGTTCCTTATAACATTGCATTATAACTGAAAATTTGATTACATTCTTTGATTGTGGCGTCGAAATGTGATAAGATACACCATCAAAATCGACAACGGTCTCGTCCAACACCGTAGGTTCAAGGCTGCCGAATAAATTATTATACACATTTCAATTTCTCTTTGATACATTTCGCGTTTTTACTATCGTGAAAGTCATGAGTGGGAAGTGCAAGAAACAGCTTACCCGATAATTGGTTGTCTTAACGCTTCCTCAATTACAACGTTATGATAATCTAGTAAAATCATTATGAAATCTGTTACTTCTCGAGTTTCGAGAAAAGCTCTATATATATGTACGTAGTATAAGCAGATGCTTTTGATTGGTTGAAATAATTGTTCGTATTCCAGTAATTTGATTTTGGGAATTTTATAAATTTTACAACAGATAGGGAAAGTAGGTTATATGCACGATTTCCAGAATATTAGATCTTTACTTGGCCTCAAATTTTTCAGGCGGTAAATCGCATTATACCAAAAAGCCTTTATTATCTGCTAATTGCTTTTTAATACTCTTGGGAAATCGTATGTCAGCTTTAAGTAATATCTGCAATCATTGAATCGTCCCGAGAGGGTCTGTTTTGTCAATTGAAGGCATTCTCTCAATTGAAAATAAAAAATTTAACCAGCATCGGTCGGTATTCAAAACGAATGAAATATCATGCTTACATCAGTCTCCCTAGTAAATATAATGACTACGTACATATTATACATATTAATGAGTAAACAACGATATAAATTGTCTATTGTTTTTTTATCTCGTCTCATTATATTCAGTTACTTATTAATGTACTAAGAATTCCTTCTATCACCCTGAATACACCTCTTACTCCATCGTCCAATAGTTTGGCTACTAACCATATCACGTCGACCACCTTACCAATATACCAAACCACCATAGTTATCAATAATGCTTCCCATAGAATGATTGCCCACTTTAAAAATTTAGTTTGCTTTTCGAGAAATCTAAAGTTCGAATCTATGATTATTGAGATGGTCCTTGATAACACCGCAATTCCAAAAATGTCTGTAGCTTGAATGTTAAAAGTGAAATTCCAGAAACCTATAGTAGTTTCAGGTACTTTATCTTTAGATTTCCAAAATTGAAATATAGATAATTTGTTAGTTTTTGATGAAGAGCTATGGTTAGTTTTTTTGTTTGACGTTGGTGCAATAGCTGCTGGTGTCTTTTTTCTTAGCATGATAACTTCGATTATTGTTACAGGTTAAATAATATACTCCCTTTCAACAAATTCAAATACATTATATAACAGTCACACCTGTTACACAAATCATTAGTTTAAATTTATTTACTTATAAATTTTAAATTTATAAAATTTTCACTTGCTTTTAAGTTATTCTTTATTATATTTTTCTTCAAATAGAAAAAATAATTTTAATTTTTCAAGTTTATATTAAATTATTATATATTTAAAAAGATAAAAAACTTTATTATAATCAAAGATATATTTATATAAATATTATATAATAAATTGGTTCTATATTTAAATATTAATTATTTTTTTAAAAAAAAAAAATAATATATTTTAATTATTTTAACATTTTTATTTTTAATAATTAAACAAAGTTTTTAAAAAATTTTATTTATTTATTATTTTATTATTATTATAAAAAATTTTTTGGAGAGAATTTCTTTTATAAGTAAATATTATTTCTTTATTTGATATTATATATAATAAAGTATATATTGTAAAAGAAATATCTTTTTTATTCTTATGTAACTGTTGTAACTTTGTTTCATAAGTTAATAAAAAACTGTCACATGTAATATGCTTTGCCTCTAAAAAAAAAAAAAAAAAAAAAAAAGAAATATCTTTTTTATTATTTTAAAAAAGTTAAATGCTAGCTTGCCTATTTAATATTATTTAACTAATATTATAAAAAATTTTAAAAGTAATATTAAAGTACTAAATAAAGCTAAGTAATAGCTATATTTATTAACTTAGGAAATTTTTTAAAATCTTATAATTTTTTAAATATATAAAAATTGAAAAGAAAAGAATAAAAATAACTGTCACTAAAACTAAGTCATATAAAATATAAAATCTATAAGTAAAAAACTAATTACAGTATTTTATCAAAAAAGTTTTTAAACAGGCTTGTTGTTTCATTTTTTTGGCTTTTTTGTTACTATAAATAATAAAGTATATGTAAAGTTGTTTGTTGTTATAATTATTAGTAAATATGTAATTGATATTATTGTTATAATTATTGTTATAATATAAAATCAATTTGAATAAATTTTGTTTTTGTTTTAATTTTTAAGTAAAATCTAATTAAATAATTGAAAAATGCTAATTATTTATAAAGAATAAGCTAATTTTAATTTTTTGACTAAATAGAAATATTGAGGAATTTGAGATAATACAATAAATATTGTCATAGTAAAAAAGTATTTGTGAATTAACTTGAAACAAACAGTAGACTTACTAATTCTATTTGAATATATATTTTGAAAAATATTTGTTTTAATGAGTATAATAATAATAATATAAATGATTTTTATAATAAAATAAGTGTAAAAAAAATGTAAAAGAATAAAGAATTGCCATATGATTTTTTTTATATAATTAAAGAATAAGCAAGATTCTCAAATTTGAATAAAATTTAATTAGAGATCCTATTTTATTACTAAGGATGGATTCCTAAACTATTTAATATATAAAATTTTGCAGATCAATTATGTCTCTTTTGAAGGGACATAATTATTTATTCATTACTTTAATAGAGACATAATTTAAAAAACACTTGGATCAAGTAACCTAAATTGCAAAAAACCTTTATAGATAATTTTTTTTTAATCTTATATTTAAAAAAAAACTTTTTTAATAGTGATAGACATTTGAATTATGTTTTTACTTTTAATTTAGAGATCCATTTTTATTTATCACATCAATTGTCTTGAAGGTTCTTGAGTTCTTAAATTGAAGTTTACTTGTATTAAAGAAAATAAAATATTTTTTCTTGCTTAAAATTATTATAAAAAAATTTTTTTAACAAAATAAATGTAATCAGAAGTATAATTAATAGGTATTATATAATTATAATTAATAAAAAATATTTTATTAATAAATTTTGTTTTATAACTTAATTATTATTATTATTATTTTAAAGGGTTAAATATATTATATATACAATTTTTATTAATTATTTGTAATTACAATCATTATATAAACAGTTAGTTAACTAATGCTACTTGTCTTTTTTATCTAATATATTAACATATATCTTGTGAATAAGCCTATATATCAGATTTAATAGTCATATTTTTATTAGTTTTTTGTAATAACTTAAGTAAACTCATTCTTAATTTCATCTTTTATAGCCCAATACCAATTATATCCTTAGAGTTTCATTATAAATATATACTTTCTAATAAATGCTTCAGGAATAATTTCTATAGTTAATTTAGACTATTAAATTTAAGAACTTATAGTCAAGTAGTATATAACTTCTGATTCTTTTAATAGATATTTTATAAGCTCTTAATTGTTTTAAATTATCAAATTTAAGGATATAAATGTCAAACAGGATACAACTTTTATATATTGATAAACTGCTATATGTTTATTCTTAAAAGAGAAATATAAAATTTTAATATTGTATAGTTAATAAAATTACTATATATAAAATTAATATTTAGAATATAAGATTAATAAATTAATGTGGGTCCATAGTGTAGTGGTTAACACTCCACAGGTCAGATCACAAGATACCAGTTCAACCCCAGGTGAAGGCGATTGAACCGAATTAAAAATGGTATCTGGGGCCATAACCAGTTAAGCCCTGTTTCCCATAAGAAGTCATTTGCACGCTGATCCAGTAGGACGTTGGGATTGTGATCCCCAGAAAAGGTGTCGTGGCGCGACGATCGTCTAGTTGGTGTTACAATGATTGCCAGAAGTTGCAAGATGTATGAGGTGTCCGCTTTTGACAAGCAGGTTTGGTGATCCTTCCCCTAATATCCGGTGTCTTTCACGCAGATTCCTGCCCTAGTCTCATTCCAATCCAGTAATAAACCGGTCTGGTGATACTTATCCCGAGAAGGCTTCTGGCTATAAGTCCTGTTCCCTACAATATGTAAGTCAATATTCAGGCGGTAAGTACCAGTTATAAGTATCTTGAATGTTCTTAGGTATTATTGGACAGGTAAGAAATTAAATGGTTAACCCAGCTGCAGGTGGTGATAAAGGGATTTATCCCTGATGGAGCAAGTAGTGATCATTTAGCTTTATTCATCATAGATATTACCCCTAGTGCCCCCTTTCAACTTTCCCTTAATTCCTCCCAGTTAGAAATAAAGTTGTTCGACTACTAGTGAAAATGCATGCTACTGGTTCAACAAAGGAATACCTTTGTCCAGTAGATTAGCTTCTATACCTAATATAGTTAGAAACAAGCTACAGCAAACATCATTATTTGGAGCAATCCCAATAAGTGTTGGGTATACTTAACAACCGATACGTTATAGTATAGTCCTAGATAGTAATGTCGAAAGATATATGTAAACATCGTTATTGAATAAATACTCAGCCAGACAATTATCGCTAATGCACTAAAAAAAAAAAATAAAAAAAAATAAAATAAAAATTACAATTTTATTTAATATACTATAAATATAAATTTTGGTAAATATCAATATCAATCAGTACAGTATTGAAATTTTTGGTTTGGTATTTTTATATAAAAATTAGTACCGAAGCTGATTGGAACCCTAGTTCTGATCTAGAAAGCAGTATTGTATTCAATATTCTATGCATGGAATAAGCACTCTATTTAGAATATACTTTATATGCTTGTCTATTACTTTTTTCTTTTGAAGGCTTGATACTATTGTTGTGATTTCACACTTGATTTGATGGATTGTGTTTTTAGTATGTCTCTTGTTCCCTATCCATATTCCTAGAAATCTGGTAAAGCTGCTGTGATCACTTTCAGTTACTTCTTGTTGGTTTACTTCAATTTTAACTATATTTGATCTTTTGTTATGGCTGTTTATCATGATTAGTACTGATTTGTTGCTATTAATTTGTGAGTCATTGGCTACATAGAACCATTTGGTCCTTTCTAAAATGTTTTCCATATCTTTTCTAGATCTAGCAATCCATATTGTATTATTCATGTATACTATAGCAGCTTGTCGAATGGACAGTTATATGGATTTATCTTTGCTGTGATTAGTTCTCCATTTATAGTTCATATAATAATCTAGTCTTTTATTATCTTGGATTTCATATACTTTACTGAAACCTATCAAATTCTGACAATCTGGTTATGTGATTGTTGCGATTTTGTGACTGAATCATGGAGATTCAATCACGATTTAATGGTTTTTACTATGTTGTGACCAAATTTCAGCTATTTAGTAGTGATTAAATCATTATTTCAATAATGACATCATCACCAACTCTTTTTAAAAAAATAGTGAACAAATTGTGACTATATTGTGACAACTTTTAGTTGCAAAATAGTGACGA